TTTCGGAGTCACAGTGCCTCCCACCAGGGCTATTCCTGGGGTGGTGCAGTTTATACACTACCCCTACTTCAGAGCTATGCCTAAAGTCAGAGTCTAGCCATATTATGTTAATCCTTTGTGTTCTCTCTCAATAAAAACACATGGGTGGTATAAACAGGCTTTGACTTAATTTCATTTGATTTTTCAGCTGTCCTCCATTTTATAAAACTATCTTCCTGAGTGTGTTTGCGGCCTTGGGTATGGCCCATCCAAGCAATAGGGAGTTTGAGACTCCTCCCTAATCAGCCACTGAGGTAATGCAAGGCTCAATTGACCAGCCTTGCTCCCTCCCAAAATTATTAATGGAAAACTATCAGAGTCACCACCAAACAATCAAAACTTACAGGTGAAAAAGGAACATTACAACAGACAGACCTGTGCCCTGGCTGTGAAGAGAAACAAAAGATTGTTTTCTGTATAACAGAGTATAGGGAAAGATACTCTGGATCTAATCACTGTGGAAAACCCCTAGTAGAGGGATTTGCTTTAAAGAATGGTTTGAATCCCGATTATTGAGAAACTAGGCAGCTTTGCAACAGACTGAACTTGGGGTGGGAGAGAGAGTCTACTTTATTAGATAGGAAACATTACTATTGATAAATGTAGACCCAGGTTCACATTTTATGGTTTTGGTTTGTATTATAATCACTTGTTTCCACCATGCTCTTGTTTCTAGTTAAATCTTTATTCTCTCTTAAATAAACCTACTTTTGTTTTATCATAAGTGTTTACAAATGCTGTGTGACTTACAGGAGTAGTGGTTTAAGGTATGTCAAGGTTCCTCCCCCACTCTGAACTCTAGGGTTACAGATGTGGGGACCTGCATGAAAAACCTCCTAAGCTTATCTTTACCAGCTTAGGTCAAACTTCCCCAAGGTACAAAATATTCCACCCGTTGTCCTTGGACTGGCCGCTACCACCACCAAACTAATACTGGTTACTGGGGAAGAGCTGTTTGGATGCGTCCTTCCCCCCAAAATACTTCCCAAAACCTTGCACCCCACTTCCTGGACAAGGTTTGGTAAAAAGCCTCACCAATTTGCCTAGGTGACTACAGACCCAGACCCTTGGATCTTAAGAACAATGAACAATCCTCCCAACACTTGCACCCCCCCTTTCCTGGGAAATGTTGGATAAAAAGCCTCACCAATTTGCATAGGTGACCACAGACCCAAACCCTTGGATCTGAGAACAATGAAAAAGCATTCAGTTTTCTTACAAGAAGACTTTTAATAAAAATAGAAGTAAATAGAAGTAAAGAAATCCCCCCTGTAAAATCAGGATGGTAGATATCTTACAGGGTAATTAGATTCAAAAACATAGAGAACCCCTCTAGGCAAAACCTTAAGTTACAAAAAAGATACACAGACAGAAATAGTTATTCTATTCAGCACAATTCTTTTCTCAGCCATTTAAAGAAATCATAATCTAACACATACCTAGCTAGATTACTTACTAAAAGTTCTAAGACTCCATTCCTGTCTATCCCCAGCAGAAACCAGCATATAGACAGACACACAGACCCTTTGTTTCTCTCCCTCCTCCCAGCTTTTGAAAGTATCTTGTCTCCTCATTGGTCATTTTGGTCAGGTGCCAGCGAGGTTACCTTTAGCTTCTTAACCCTTTACAGGTGAGAGGAGTTTTCCCCTGGCCAGGAGGGATTTCAAAGGGGTTTACCCTTCCCTTTATATTTATGACAAGGTATAACTGGTAAATTGGGGTATACTGCACCTTTGGGTGCAAATGATATGGAATTTCTGTTAGTATCCCGTATCAGGGGCTGGATATCAGAGGGGAATGACTCCAGGGGGTGCAGAGTGCATCTATTGTTAACCTGCAATGTGAATATAGGGCAGAGCTCAGTGGAGAGTGCTTGAGTGGCTGAAAGGCTGGCGATGCTAGGGAGCTGACACTCAGCTACCACAAGACAGACTCTTTCTTGCTGGAGGCAGGGGTAATAAGATGACTCATTTCAGGGAACCCCAAATATACTCTGTCTTGTCACAGTAACAATATTCCAAAATTGTACTTAAAAGTAATATATAAATACATTCACATTTTTAGTCTTTTTTAAACAAAAGACTAGCTGGTTGTAGATCTATTTTTCAATAAAATGCACATTGTGTGGCTAAACTATTAAGTATGCTAGCCTTGGGGCAGGGAGCTAAAAATATGAAATGGTGACTTAAAAGCTGATCCTGGTGCTGCTCTGTGCATGACCATTCCCCTGCACTTTGTCAAAGAAGAGTGAGGGCTGTTCTAATTAAAAAGGAGATGCAACAGCCACAACGACCATCATGAAGTTAGGAACATCTCACTTTCTCTAACTATTCCTCCTCCTGCATCAGAGAAGGAAGGTTATGTGATGGTTGTCAGATGAAGAATGGTCCAGTGGTTAGATTATTTGCCTCGCACTTTGAAGACCTGAGTTGAAGTCCCTGCTATGCCACAGACTTCCTGTTATCTTGGCTATGACACTTAGCTTCTCAGTTGTTCTGTTTCCCATCCCCCAAATGGGGATAATAGCACTTCCCTGCCTCACTGGATGTTGTGAGGGAAAATACATTAAAGATAGGGAGGTGCTCAGGTACAATGGTGATATGAATACCTTAGGTACTCTCTAGTTACAGAGCCCTTACCACCAGATGATAACCCTTACACTAAGGTGATCCTCCCCGTGCCAGTTAAATTAGCTTTATGGCCTTTCTATGCCAGCAGTGTGGCACAAAGATGCTGCACCACACTGGCTTCTTATAAAGTAACAATTATATGCTGATATAATTATTTTACATATGAACTGACAGGTAAATTGCCTTCAAATACAGGTTTATGTGAATGTTAAATATTTTTTCATAAAGTAAAAACACTTCATGTAGTTTCCCTTCTAATTCAGTTTCTTTGGGCATTCTGAGCAGATTGTATAAATCATTGTTTACAAATACCAGTTGCTCAAAGAATTTTCTGAAGTGAAATATTAATGAAAGCCAGGCAAACACTCTTACTCCAAGGTCAGTGTAATGCCATGCTGATGCAAGCCTATTTTGTAAAAAACCAACAACTGTTTAATCAAGCACACATAGAATAGCAGTCAGGTTTTTAGACCTTTGACAGCGACAGCCATAGAATGTTTTCATTTGTTACTGAGTGATGACTAACACCATTTTGCATGAGTAAGGGAGCCACTTTGATAAGGCAGGACAGGAAAATAGGAAGGTGTGTTGTGTTCTTGTTTGGTTATACAGATGTTCCCCTGTTCATTATCCAAAGATAAATTCTACTGTGTCTGCACAGTAGCGTAAAAACCTTTTCAACTCAGCTCTCTCTCTTCTCTGACCCTATAGTTCTGTTCACTAGCATTAATCACTTACTCAGCAACGATCTTGGGGAGCCAACTCCCTGTTTATCTGAACATTTTGGACGTTCCCGAAATATTTGGGATAAATCAGGGACAGAAAATAACTGATACTTTTAAATATATATGGTTTGTTTAAATGATTATAAAACTTGAGGCCAAAGTTTGCCTGGTCTTAAATTACTAGCTAAATTGCCTGCAGTATTTCGAGTGTTGTTAGGCCTGGTTAGTCTATAGGGTGCTCTAAATATCTGTCCAGGCAAGGTACACTGTTACATTTGTTTTCTCTTTAGTTAATAAATGATGTATATCCCTGAAGAATCAATTATTAAAAGTGAAAGAATATTTTAAATCCAATTCACATTTCACTGTATATACTTTTTGTTTGTTGTTCTTTTTTGTATATATGAGAAAGCTATAAGTTAAGGTGTGAATTCAAACAGATATAGTTATACCAGTAAAAGTCACCTTGTGGCCACTCTCATTCCAGTATAAAGGCCTTTTTTCAGTTAAGCACCTATCTCTTCAGAAGGGGTTTAAGCTAAACTGATTACAAAGCCATTCTTATTTTGGAATAAAAGTGTCCACACTACGAATTAAACCAATATGGTTATATTGGTATTGTTACACTAGTACAGTATAACTGGCAAAACTTTCCAGTGTAGACAAGCCCTTAAATTGGAGATCTAAAAGCACTGAATCCAGTTTTACTTTCCGGTTATTACTGCTGCAGTACTTGGGTTTCAGATGTTGTAGTGGAATGTTTATTTCTTTAAAAACAACTGTTTTCACTGGAAATTTTATATTTCCTGTAGTGTTATCAGTGAATGCAGAGTTATGTAACAGGAAAGCTGTGCCAAACAAATAGTGAAGTAGCAAAATGTGTAGTCTAAAGGCATAAGAACTTACAGTGTGAAAAATCAAAATCACACAATGTGAAACAGCTGGAATGCTTCACAGAATAGTTCTGGTTTTCAGTATTTTTTGGAGAAGCCTCATTTTTATAAAAATATAGAGCAAAACATTCCCGTTCGAAATTATTAACTCTTAACCACCCCTTCAAACAGAAGTCAAGATTTACCACACTTTTTTGAAGCACTGTTATCTTACAATACCTTCATGTGCAGCTCTTAGAAACTCAAAGAATCCTCATTAAGGTGTGAATTGGTTCGTATTCCATGTGGAGGAACACGAACCAATTCACACCTTAATGAGGATTCTTTGAGTTTCTAAGAGCTGCACATGAAGGTACTGTAAGATAACAGTGCTTCAAAAAAGTGTGGTAAATCTTGACTTCTGTTTGAATGGGTGGTTAAGAGTTAATGATTTCTAAGTAATCTAGTTTGGGTAAAAGTTGTTCATGGTGATTCATATTAAATAGCTAAACCAGTACATTTGCTTCAATTTAACTTATTCATGCATGAATGTAAGTTTCAGCATGCTTCAATATTTTTAAAGGTTTCAGAGCAGGGGTCTGACACCCAAATCAAAAGGGGAGGAGGTATGATGTTTAACAATAATTTGAAAAACTGCTGCAAACACACATTTTAAAACAAACAAACAAAAAGAGAGTTGCTGATACTTTTAACAGTATTCTCCTAACATTTACCTCAATTGCACCAGAATTAAAGACGTGGTAGTAAGTAGGCCTGGCTTGTGCCCGACAAATTCTGTACCTTCATATTTTCCAGCTTTGATAGTAATGACTGAGAGACCTCTGCAAAGGAGAAGGTGGAATGAAAGAAAAACCCGTCCGCTGGGAGCCATGGAGTTGGCCTCGGGAATGTTTTAAGAGAGGGAAGGAAAAATCAAAACAAACGGTGCCCTGCTGAGGTGGCTGCCAGGAATGCGCTGCCTGAGCTTTGGCACCGAGGACGCCTGAGAAGCGCACCGAGCAGTAAAGCGGCAAGGAGCTGGGCCTGGAGCTCCTTAGTCTGGCTCTCCAGCAGCTGGGCCCCGCCGTGGGAGAGTTAGTTCAGTTTCAGGCCCTGAGTGGCATTTTTTTTCCATAGCTGCGCAGCTGGAGCCTGGAAGGAGGCTCCCGCCGTCCGAGAAGAGAGGCAAAGGGTAGAGCCACCTGGAAAGGGGGCTGCAGCCAACAGGAAGAAGGGAGGAGAGGAAAAGAAAAGTGAAAGTCTCCAGCGAAGGAGCCCTGCCCAAGGGCGGGAGTGCGGACAGGCTGGAAGCAGAGGGGCAGAATCGAGTCGAGTGGAGGGGACAAGAGAGCCCGAGGGAAACAGGGGCCAGGGGAAGGGGAGGAGGCGTGGGTGGAGAAGATGGGACTGCAAGGGAGGGGAAGGGGAGAAATGGGCGACAGCGAGGAGGGCGAGCGAAAGAGGGGACCAAACCGAGGCGTGAGGGGAGAGGCGAAGCTGGGCTGAAAGCGGCGGGGCGCTGACTCCGGCGCTCGGAGAAGTTCTTCCGCAGGGCTCCGCTGCCCTGTCCCCTTCCTCCCCCGAGCCTCCGCCCGCCCCTCCTGGCCGGTGGGGGGTTGTACCCGAGCCAGTCGGCGGGGAAGCGGCCTCGAGTGGGGCTGGCCGGGGCTAGTGCTGGGGCAGCTCCCTCCTGCCGGGTCCCTGCAGGGGAAGCCTCCGGCCGGCCGGCCGGCGTGTACTCTGGGAGGCGAGGGGGAGGCTCCCGCCGAGCGGGGAGGGCGGAGGGAGCTGCTCGCCAGCGCAGGCGGGCGGAGAGCGGACTCGCGTCAGGGTGCGGAGCGGCTTGTTCTCCAGACTCTCCCTGATGCCCGGCGTGACACAGGGGGAGCGCCCGGCCGAACAGGCGGGAGACTGGACTGGGGGAGCTCGGGGGCTTCTCCTCTAGCAGCAGCCGCCCCCCAGCTGAGAGGGGGCGCCTGGGGTTGTCCCCGCGGGCGGCGGAGCTCCCCGGCCGGGGACCCGACGAATCGCCCCGGCATGGGCGCAGGGTCACGGCAGCTCCCCTGGCTCCAGCAGGGACACCGGCGAAGGATGCTCTGATCCTGGCTTGGCTTCGGCCATCCTCGGGCTTTTGGGGCTGGAGGAGGGGCTGGGGGTCTGCGCCTGCCCCCGCCCCGCCTGCAGAGGCATCTGAAGTCGGGATGAGCTGGGCTCCCCGTGGCTCGCCCGGGGTGGAAACCCCTTGAGGCTGCCCTCGCCTCCGGTGCCCAGAGCCTCTCTCTGTTGTGCGCTCTCGCCAGCCTTGGCCGAAGTGAATGGCCCCCAGTGGATGTGCACCGCACCACTGGCTCTGCAAGGGGACAATGCTAGCCGGGGGGCTGCTGGCCGGCTTCTCCGTGCTCAGCTTCCTCACCTACGGCTACTTGTCCTGGGAAACCCTCGGATCTAGCCTGGAGACCACAAGGGCCGAGCTTGGAAAGGAGCTAGAGGCCAGCGTACCTACCACTCAGCCTCACATCGTTTTCATCCTGGCTGACGATCAGGGATTCAGAGATGTAGGGTACCACGGATCAGAGATCAGGACACCAACTCTGGACAGGCTGGCTGCTGAAGGGGTTAAACTGGAGAATTACTATGTTCAGCCTATGTGCACGCCTTCCAGAAGCCAATTTATCACAGGAAAGTAAGTTTACTGCTTAATTAATTCCTCTCATCTTCTTAAATTTAATGCTGTAGCCTCTTCCGTCTTGAAGGCAGCACAAGCTCTCCAGTGATTAACATAATTAGAAAGAAATTGATCTTATCTTGGGAGGGGGGGGGGGAAGAACCTGTTGATTCACTTGAAAGTTTAATACATTTTTTTACTTGGACAAAAAAGACTTTTCCAGATTACTTTTATAACGGAATAAAGACCTGCACTCTGTAATCTTGTTAGCCAACAAGAAGTCAGCTGAATTACCCACTTCTTAATATAGTAGGAATTGATTTTCCCTTATATACATATAAGTTCTAGTTGTCACTTAATATATTTTGGTACTATGCATTCAGTGATCATCTAGGTCAGTTATGTAACTTCCTTAGGGCAGATTGAGTACATGAGGTGACTTAAAGTTAAATTCTTTTTTGGTGAAGTAGAATGAATGTTCCAAGTTGTTTCCATATATATTGCAATGTGCAAATTGTTGCTCTTCTCACGGTGAACCTTTCCTTAAGTGAAGTCTTTCTGTGATGTTATAGTAGGGTTCCACTGAATTTGTGCTATACACAAGCAAGGGGAATGTAGAATTTTGCAGGTATCTGAGCTGCGGTATCTCTCTTCTTACAAAAAGAAAAGGAGTACTTGTGGCACCTTAGAGACTAACCAATTTATTTGAGCATAAGCTTTCGTGAGCTACAGCTCACTTCATCGGATGCTCAAATAAATTGGTTAGTCTCTAAGGTGCCACAAGTACTCCTTTTCTTTTTGCGAATACAGACTAACACGGCTGTTACTCTGAAACCTCTCTTCTTACAATGTAATTGCCACTGTGCAAACAGTTGTCTACGGTGCCACCAGAAAAGCTGCCACATGCAAAAATGGGGCTAAAGCTGTCTGACTTGCACTACCTGGTACAGTTTTAAAAAAAATCTGTTAGGTAGGTAATCAATATAACCAATTTAATAGTGTTGGCACAACTGGAAATGAAAAAAAAACCTGATTTTTAACGAAAACAAGCAAGTGGCATAATGTTTTTCTTTGCCATGTGAAAAAACTTGATTTGATTCCTGCTCCCAATCTTCCATTTCCCAAACTTGCCAGAACAGGGAATTCTGCAGGGAAATTCACCATCAAGGGCTCTCAAACTATGAACCATATCCTAGTAGACTTTGTGTCTTGTGGATATCTACCCCCTAGCTCATAGTAATATAACATCCTTGTGGCAACTGAAGTAGTAGTTTGTACAGAAAAGTAATATCGGGTTAATCTTTAATGTGTTTTTAGCTGCCTTTGCTGTAATGTAGCAGCTGGAAAGAAGGAGTAGAGCCAGCACCATGTGATCAGCCAGTTCTCTGTAGATCACCAGCAAGTCTTCTGCAGACAACAGTTGTGAAACTACTGCTTTAAGAGTGGAATCTCATTCTGCACAACAGTGACTCATCCAGTCATTTAAAGAATGGCGTTGTTGGGTTCTAAAGAAATCAGGGTTCTGTGCAAGCCTTTTTGAGATTCGTGGCAGTTAGAGAAGGAGAAATTGGCGCATCATCAGGGCAAAAGGAAGAAAAACTAAGGAGAGAGATAAGTAACTTAGTTTATTTTACCCTTCCTTTAAAATATCTAATGTAAATAACTTTTTTTTAGGTTAATGAAAAAAAGAGAAAATAAAATGGGTACATTTTTCGGAACCCTACTCTTTTAATCAGGTTGCAAGGAAAGAGAGATCCTGAAAATCTGCCTCTTTAATTTTGGAACCTTGCGAGAGATTTGCCTACACTTCATTCATTTCATTTACTAACAGTCTGCTGGACTACCACCATTCAGACTTTTTTCTTTCCATTCTACTTTCAGAAGAAGGAACAGCAGAAGGAAAAGACTGCTTTACACAAATGAGAAATAGGGGAAGGAAGTGGTTAGGAGAGGCTAGGGCTGGGCAAGATATTAACAATGTAGAGCCAGAAGAATATTGTCATCCCTCTTTTGTATAAAGATGGGTGCCAGAGGTGATATGTTATGATGCTGTCTGCATAGAGGTAAAATAAGAATAAGTAAGGGCCAGGACTAGAATACATTAATGACAAAAGAAATAAACCAGTAAAAATTGCTCTCATAATTAAGCCCTTTGTAGTCCTCTTAGGGTTCTACTTTCCCTTTAAATTCTGTGCATAATGTCCCTTGATGTTGATGACTCAAGGTGAGATTGAAAGCCTGAGCCAGTGTTTTAATGCTACAGGAGATCTGCTCCCATGATAGCTGCATTGGGGCCAAAGGAGGGAGATAAGGCAGTCAGCTTTCAGGAAGCAGGCTGTCCCTAGCTCTGCAGCTGGGGAACCAGGATTGCAACAAAGGACTGGGTGGATCTTTGATTCATACAGTTTTCACTGACCTGCACTGCTCTTCATTCAGCCCTGGAACTAATTTGATTCCTTCCAAAGGTCCCATTCCTAGTTTGAAATTTCTAAAGATCTCTGTCTATTCTTGCTTTGCTATTTGAGGTACTGTTAAGTTGAGTTGGACAGTAGCTTGTTTATGTTTGAGGTGTTGCCAAGTGGGTATAACTTTGCAGCAAGTAAGTTGTGGCAGGCGGGGGTTTCCCCATTGGTATAAGGCTGAACACAAAGGTTTAGGTCCTCTAAACCTACCAGTATTTCTATGGTGTTTGTTTGGATTTTTACTTTCTCCATAAAAGTAATATGGAAGCATCAACAAGCCAAAATCTCAAATAGGCGGGGCCTGATTAAATTCATTCTAGCGTACTTAAGGAACTAGTTGAAGCAATCTCAGTTATCTTTGAGAATGCATGGTGGATGGATGAGGTCCCAGAGAACTGGGGAAAGGGAAATATAGTAGCTATCTTTTAAAAAGGGAACAAAGAGGACCCGGGGAATTACTGAGTAATCCACCTAACTTTGACACCTGGAAAGATACTGGAACAAATGATTAAATCAATTTGTAAGCATATAGAGGATAACAAGATTTTAAAGAATAGCCAGCACGGATTTGTCAAGAACAAATCATGTCAAACCAAAGTAATTTCCTTCTTTTCACAGGGTGACTGGCCTAATAAATGGGGGGGGGGGGGGAGAAGCAGTAGACATGATATATCTTGATTTTTAGTATGACATTTGACACAGTCCCACATGACATTCTCATAAGCAAACAAGGAACACCTGATGTAGATGTAATTACTATAAGGTGGGTGCATAAGACCTCAACTAAAGAGTAGTTATGGTTCACTGTCAAATGGGAAAGATTATCTAGTGGAGTCATGTGGGGGTCAGTCCTGGGTCAGGTACTATTCAATATTTTCATTAATGGCTTGGATAATGGAATAAAGAGTTTGCTTGTGAAGTTTGCAGATGACATCAGAATGGGAGGAATGCAAACACTTTGGAGGACAGGATTGGCATTCCAAATTACATTGACAAGTTAAAGAATTGGTCTGAAATCAACAAAATGAAATTCAATAAAGACAAGTGCAAAGTACTTCACTTAGGAATCGTTGGCTACGTCGCAGTACTTCTTGAAAGGGCGGGGAGCAGAGAGGGGGAATGATTGAACTGAATATGAGCCAACAGTGTGATGCCATTGTGAAAAAGGCTAATATCATTCCAGGCTGTATTAACAGAAGTGTTGGAAGTAAGACATAAGAGGTAATTGTCCTGCTCTGCTTGGCACTGGTGGGACCACAGCTGGTACTGTGTCCAGTTCTAGTCGCCACACTTCAGAAAAAATATGGACAAATGAGAAAAAGTCCAGAGGAGAACAACAAATATGATAAAAGATTTAGAAATCTGACCTATGAGGAAAGGTTTAAAAAAAAAAAAACCTGGGCATGTTTAGTCTTGAGAAAAGAAGACTGAGGGGGGATCTGATAGTCTTCAAATATGTTAAGGGCTGTTATAAAGAAAGAAGACTGAGGGGGGATCTGATAGTCTTCAAATATGTTAAGGGCTGTTATAAAGAGACACTGATCAATTGTTCTCCATGTCCACTGAAGGCAGGAAAAGAAG